GTGACCACCTTATAACTCCGCATAAAGACATCACACAATAATATGCAATGTGTGTCACTAGCTTACGCCCTTTCTCAACATTTTCTGTCCCAGACGCTCTTTTCACAGTCGATCCCGCCTTTTCAAACGAACCATGTGCTAGCTATCGCTCTAGATCATTTATGAGAAGGCAGCTCTTTTCGACAAAAAATAAAAATATTGAAAATAAGTACGTTCCTCAGTATAGTAAGAACACGCAGCCAGTCTAAGAAATTCAACTTCGCTCAAGTTTTCAGAAGAGTCAGAACTTCAATTAAGAATCTAGTGGTGAAGAGAATGCAAGATGCAATAGCATGCCTAATGCAATATACCCTATATGCTTACAAGCAATGCGATAAATATATATATACTAATATACAATATAATATAATATAATGACATGCAAGCAATCAGAGAGTGCATATCCCTAAGGATTTCCTTAGAGAAATAAATCTTTGAGCATCGAGGTTATGTGCTGGAACATATTTATGAACAATTAAACCATCATCAACCAAATTTCTAGTAAAGTGGCAACGCATGCTAGTACGCTTAAGAGAATGTAGAACAGAATATTTGGAAACATTAACCGCACAAGTATGGTCAAAGAACAGGTCAATGGCTTGTACCTCAGTTTCAAATTTAAGAAAAATGTGCTTCATCCACACCTTTTCTGAAAAACAAGTTTCAGCCACACGGTTCTGATCGGTGTAAGAACCTCCATCAGACGTACTCCGTTGATCAACGTCATTCACAACCCTATCAGCATCACAATCTCTAACAATACCAGAATTCATATCACATGAGTCAAAAGTCATATAATCAATCAAATAGCATTATCATGCGATCGAGACCCTGTAAGAACACAGTTATTATTCCTATTCGAAACCAAACATTCATTCAAGGTGAAACTCACAGAAAAGCCTTGATCACATAATTGACTCACACTCAGCAAATTGACATTCAGGTTTTCAACCAACAAAACATTATCAAGTCGAGGAAGACCAGGTATGTTCAAACATCCAATTCCCACAACTTTATTACAAGCACCATTACCAAAAGTAACAGAACCAGAACCATTAGACACAGGTACAACATCAATTAAATTCGATTTAACACCCGTCTTGTGCCTAGAACATCCACTATCAAAATACCAATCACAATTAGAAGCGGATTTTGAAGCAAATAGAGATGAAAGACAAGTATGATTCTTTTTAGGAACCCAAATTTTCTGTTGCTTATGGTTCTTTACGTCAACTTTCAGTTTTGGTGTTTTCATTGGAACACCAGCGGGTTTCCAGTCATTTATTCTTCCTGCATGCAAATCATTAAGCATCCTATAGCATCTAGGACGAATATGACCGAGAACACCACAATAATGACAAGTAGAAATGAAATTTTTCACAACACGTTTACGGTGTTCTTTCACAGAAACCTGATCAACCTTACCATCAGAGTTGGAACCTTCTTTCACAAAAGTTAGAGAGGACTTACTCAGAGTCGTGCTTGGTTCACCCACTTTACCTTTCAGTTTCTGATTGGAGGAGTTCTTACTCTGGTCTGAACACGCAAACTGATGACTCATCCTTTGAACTTCAGCAAATGAGGACTTTGGCTTATTGATCATTTTGACAATCTCCTCACTCTTGCTGAGCTTTTGTTCCAAGGTTGAACAATGGCTTCGAAGAGTCACATGTTCTTCCATCACACGACCGAGTTCTTGTTTGAGGGCCGCAATCTCAGAATCCCTTTCACCTATAATTTTCTGCAAGGAAAACATTTCATTACGTAGAGACTCAATGACAAAATTGTTTTCATCACATACCTGCTTGGACAACTTCTTCTCGTGTTCGAACATCGTGATTTTGGCAACAAATTCATCCAGCTTATGTTCCTCTTTGCTGGTACGAACACTAGATCTGGTCAGTTTATCATTTAATTCGCCACTCATCACGTGAGTTTTCTGAACTTCATCCTTCAAGTAGGCGATCTCCTTCTCATGCTCTGCAGAACGATGTTCCAACAGCTTCATTCTTCCCTTTTGAGCTTGGTACTTCTTAATGATTTCTACAGCTTTGAGACACTTTTCTATGGCATATTTATGGAGTTCTAGGTTCTCCTCAGCCGGATCAGAGAACTCCTCATATTCAGCATCGCTTAGGTTCTTTGCGTAAGAACCTGCATCAGATTCAACATCAGTAAGATGCACAGAGGATGTAAAACAGTTATATTTACTAAGAAGACATTTAACAAAGTTATTAGAATAGTGAGAATTTTCAGTCTTCTCAGGTTCTTCATTCTCCTCATCACTGCAGTCGGACCACGTTGCCTTATAGACTTTGTTCTTTCTTTTGAAGTATGGACATTCCTTCTGAAAGTGACCAAACCCTTTGCATTCCCAACACTGGTCCCTTTCAACTCCTTGGTCGATGTTCTGAACCTTGTACTGTTGTACGCTGGAACCTCGCTCACCAAGTTGCTGAAACGTGTTCTTACCACCTTCAGAGGTCTTGTTTCCTTGAAACCTTATCTTCTGTAATTTCTTCAGCTTTGAGACATTTTTAGTAAGAAAGGTAAGGGCCTTCATGATCTCATCAGCATCAAAGGATTCTTCATCTGATTCTTCATCTTCAGCAACTGCAGTACGAACCTTGGCTTTTAGAGCTAAGCCTTTTCCTTTCCCTATCTTCATCAAGTCAAATCCATGATTTATTTCAAAGGTACGCAATTCACCGAGAAGGTCATCAATGCCCAGCTTTTGAATTCTCTGAAAACTCTCCAAAGCTGTAATCTTAATTCCAAACCTATCCGGTAGAGTTCTCATTAACTTCTGCACTTGTCTAGCCTCTGGAACCGGTTCACCAAGCATTGCGCTTTGGTTTACTAGATCGCAGAACCGGGCATAGTACATGTCAATAGTCTCATCATCCCTCATGCGAATCTCGTCTAGTTCCGTAGAAACTCTTTGGAGCCTTGAGGTTTTTACCGTGTTTGTACCTTCAAACTGTCTTTCCAAAATCATCCAGGCTTCTTGAGCGGTCGTGCACTGAATGATTATCTTGTGACGAGTGGGATCCACAGCAGACATGATAGCATATAGAGCCCGAAAATTAGCTTCTTCTGCTAGTCTTTCCGCATCAGTCCACAAATCTCTCGGTTTTTCAACAAGAACACGAGGACCAACATCAGAGGACGAGGATCCTCCCTTCTTTTCCGAGGGTGATTTCTCCATCAAAGGCGTTGACCAACCTGATTCAATGACTTGCCAAGTTCCTTTTCCAAGAGACCGAAGAAAAATTACCATCATGGATTTCCAGTACCCATAGTTCGAACCATCGAGGTATGGAGGGCGCGAGACAGACATGTCGTGGCTCATGGTGACCGACACACAGTCCCAAAGATCTTTATCCCGTAGTTAGAACAGGAACACTGCTCTGGTGCCAATTGAAACGTATAATTTCCCGAGTGCGCGAAATGTAGTACGAACGTGGATAAACAACGTAAATAGCGGAAGCAATAAACTGAAGATTTTAAAACTCTTCAGGGAAGCGTCCCACTTCCTCTCAGAGTTCTTTCATTGATAAACCGTTCCCACTTGTATAGTTTGGACTTACACGACTCGAACTCCCTTCTGGTCTAGCTACAACTACACACGTCCTATCAACTACTTCTCCAGCCACGTCCCGTGGACTTTACACACTCGAATCCCTCGAGCAAAACCCAGTACTTAATCCCTAAGCACTAAAACAAAGTGTTTGTAAAAGAAAAGAAACAAAACGAGTTCAGTTCTTCAGCACTGTAAGAACGCTGAAAAACTGGACCGAATAAAATAAAAATAATAGAAACTCTCAAACACTCAATTGAAGCTGATGAATGATGAACTTGATTTGCAGAAGCTCTCTTGTCTTCAATTGATTGATTGAGTAGACTTATATACAACCTCCTTAAGGTAAGGAGTCTTCACAGTTCTTCCTTTACCTTTTAGGAGTCAATTTCCTTCTCAATTGATTCCTTTCTGATTTGGACGAAATCCTTCATGTAAGGTAAGTTTCCTTGATGTAGAAATCGTGCATGTGATTTGGAGATCTTCAGAATTGAGCTTCCAATGGAAAAATGCGTTCCAAGAATCTGGTAAGAACATGACTTTCCAATAATAGCCGATCTTCCAAATCTTCAAAGATCTTGTGGTGAATCTTTCCAAATCCTCCTTAGATCTTCTCATGAACGTCTAGAACTCTTCTTGTATGGAAAGCTCATCCTTTCATAGTCCTTGCCACCTATTCCTTGTCCTACAAGAAAGAGAGAACTAATTATGGCATGTGGCATATATGGTAAGTAAATATATAAGATATATATTATGTAATCCTTCTCCTAAAGGATTAGGATTCCATAATACATACTACAATAAATATATACCATATATTATTAATAATAAATATTAGGAACTTAATTAAATCACAAGTAAATAAACAGAAAAACTTCCCTTTAATTTATTTTGCTTGCTTAATAAGAAATCTTCTAGAAAACACTTAGGTTTGTCAGACATGATGCCAAACCAATGTTCTTACACTATTGATCTTGGAGGTTTGCAAATTTATCAGACATCAAAATTCAGCAAACTATGGGCCACACTCGAAGGCGGGCCCGACAATCTCGGGTCGACATTTTTCGAGCCAACATCCGTACCCGATGGCTTCCATTTGCTCGGCTGCTACAGCCAGCCCAACAGCAAGCCGCTCTCCGGTTGGGTTCTTGTCGGAAAAGACACGACCAACGACCCCTCGGGCGGCTCTCTGAAGCCACCAATCGACTACATTCTCATCTGGACAAGTGAAAATCTGAAAATAAAGCAAGAAAGAAGCAGATACATTTGGCTCCCAACTCCTCCGGATGGATACAAGGCAGTCGGGCTCGTCATCACGGACTCGCCCGAAAAGCCCGCCCTCGAAAAGCTGCGTTGCGTCCGGTCAGATTTCACGGACCTCAACGAGAAGGAGACGTGGGTGTGGGGCCCGGGAAAGGACGAGCCGACTCGAGCGAGATTAATGTCTACAGCTCGAGACCAAGGAACAGGGTAATTCAAGCTGCAGGGGTTAAAACAGGCACGTTCGTCGTTCGAAAATACGGTGTCGACTTGAATTTACCGTGTCTTAAAAACATGAGCGGTAAAAACTACGCCATGCCTAACCAGAATCAAATCGAGGCAATTATTGAGGTTTACTCCCCGCGCGTGTATTTCCACCCGGACGAGGAGTACTTTCCGTGCACCGTGAAATGGTACTTTGAAAACGGTGCCTTGCTTTACAAAAAGGGGGACGAGTCGAATCCCGTCTCAATCGACCAGGAAGGCTCAAACCTTCCGGAAGGCGGAGAGAATGACGACGCTTACTGGATTGACCTCCCCACGAATAGTGAGGCTAAGGAGGTGGTTAAGAAGGGGGACTTGTCTAGCGTGTGTTGTTACTTGCACGTGAAGCCGATGTTTGGCGGGACATTCACCGAAATAGCAATATGGCTATTTTACCCTTTTAACGGCCCGGTTCGGGCAAAAGTCAAGTTCTTTGACGTCTCGTTGGGGAGAATCGAAGAGCATATTGGCGACTGGGAGCACGTCACATTAAGAGTGAGCAATTTCGATGGGGAGCTCAAGCGCATGTACTTTTCGCAGCACAGCGGAGGGGTTTGGTTGGACGTGTCACAACTGGATTTCGTGGAGGGGAATAGGCCGAGGGCATTTTCGTCATTTCACGGGCACGCGTCGTACCCGAAGGAGGGTTTGGTGTTGCAAGGGAATGGGAATATCGGGATAAGGAATGATAGTGGTAAGGGCAAGTTTCTTGATGTCGGGTCGAATTTTCTAGTGGTCGGGGCCGAGCACTTGGGGCCCAGTTTCGTGGAGCCTCGGTGGGTGAACTACCGGAGGAAGTGGGGCCCGAAGATCGAGTACAAGACTAAGGATGAGATGAAGAAGGTGGAGAAGTTGTTGCCTGGGAAATTGAAGGATGCATTTGAGAGGTTGATGAGGGGCCTTCCAAATGAGGTGTTTGGTGAAGATGGGCCAACTGGGCCTAAGGTGAAAGATAGCTGGGCTGGTGATGAGAGGTCTTAACTGAAACTATGAAACGGTACGCACCACACAAAATATTCAGTGTCAGAATAACAAATCCAACACCATCAAAATTGTACTAATAATATGGGCCATGCAAGGCCTTATCAAAGGATAATGTCTTATATTGAACGATTTGGTTAATTATAATTATAGTTCCTCAGTATGTGGCTTCACAACCTCAAATCCATTGTCAATCCAGGCATTGATTCCTCCTCCCATGTTGTACACATGTTTGAATTCCTGCATATCGCAATATATCAATAGAGTTTGTGAGAAAGAAAAGACTTGCAAAGAGCTAAAAAGAAATAAAAAAAAAATGACAGAGATCATTGCAAACACAATGGTATTCAATTATTGATTTCAATGGGATATATATTGTAGGGAACTTTTATATCGGGAAGTCAATATAAGATGCTTATTTAATATAATATCGAGGCCTGTCAGAACACTGTGTTCTTAAGACATATTCGCCCCGTATAAGCGTTTGTTTTGCAGAATACAACGAAAAAACTGAATTAAATTCAGCGAAATGGAATTTTGCTTGGACCAAAACACTTATAAAATATGAAGAAAAAGTCTTTAAGAAGTATTGTGTTTATTTTTTCTTTTTCTTGGTGTGTCTTTCTCTCACAACTATAGACTATATATTTATATATATGCACCAACTAAGAGTAATACGATTTGTTTCGTTCAAGTTTGGCAATAAATTTGTCAGTTTACAGAATAAATTTTCAACTCTAATGTTATCAATGTTAAAACTCTTAAGAATTAATTTAACCATTACGTTATAATTTCGTTCACCCAAATTATTCCAACATATATCACTACAAGAATATGATGAAATTCCAATGGAAAATTCCAACCGAAATATATTAATCCGATAGAATTTCAACAGCAATTCCAATGGACATTCTAATGCTATTATTTCTATTGGAATTTTCTTATAGATTCCAACAGAAACTTCAATAAAACTATTCCGTTGGAAAGAGTTTTCCGTTGGAAAATATTTTGAATTTTGACGATTCCAACTGTACGTTTTCCGACGTTTAAAATATGTGTGAAAATAAAAATTCCAACAAATATTATATATTCCAACACAAATTCTTACTGTAAAAAACCGTTGGAATAATTCGGAATGATCAAATTCTATCAAAATTTCAATGTAACAACTCATTCCAACAGAATAGTTCTTAGTTCGGAATAATTCCAACGAAAGTTATTCCATTAGAATATCCGTTGGAATTTCCATTGAAATATACTACCGTATGATTTTCTGTTGGAATATTAACTTCAGTGTCAATGTCCACCACTGATCCAATGGCGAACAAAATTGATATGTGAACTGGAAGAAAGTATGTGACTTACTGCGTTAACAAGTTGGGTAGCTGCATGTACGGACCTAACACCACTTTTGCACCCCTGCCAACATTTACACGTCCGTTTAGCTATCAACTAACAAAACAATTAACTCATATTTCCTGTTGCAAACTATGAAATCCTTGATACAATAAATATTGAAATCCTTTCTAACAACCTAACTGTACCATTTTTATTGCAGAGTATTTTTTGAAGTTGAGTGATTAAAATGGCACTAATTGAGATCAAACGTTGTTAAATTTAACCGTGATAATTAAGGTATTGCAAACATATTTGCAAACCAACCGAAAACCGAAATTTTAGGAAACCATAAAATGAAAACCGAACCAAATATTCGGTTTAAGTTTCGGTCCAAACCACATTTCGGTTTCGGTCGGTTAACCATATATTGTGCAGCCCTAACTCACAAGATCAAACTCCAAGGAAAGAATTGATGAGACTAAGGTGTATTATTCAATAAGGCTTGGCAAAGGCAGCAGAAATATTTGATTGAGACCTTTTAAAACTTCAAAATTTTGGTGTTTTCAATCGAAATTTTCTAAAAGTCTCAACAAGTCACTCGGTATTCAAAGTATAAAGACTTTACATGACTTTTTGAACTGAAAGACTTCAGGAGATTTTTTTTTAATAAAATTACAAAGACAAAGTTTGAATGAAAATCTCATCATATCACTGAGATTTTGGTATGGAAGTCTCATAATATCCACTGAAAATCATTAAAAATTTCACAAAATCCACTAAAATCACTAATTTTAAAAAGTCTTAAAAAAATTTTAAAAGTTCCAATTGAATACACCTCTCCCTATGGTATAAGAGTTTGGGAACAGCTAAAATCCCGTTGATGGTATGGTTCCATCACGGTTTGTTATCGTAGATTATCCACACAACATAACTTATTTTTCTTATCCAATAGTGGAAAACGCTGAATGTACGGGACGGGACTTTAGTAATTTCATAAGAGTTTAGTGGAGTAAATGAAGCTAATTTTCTTGGTTTATTTACCAGAACAAGATGATCTTCCTTGCCACATAGGGACAAAACTTGATCCACAAATTTGGGGTTCTTCACCATCCCTGAATGTATTCTCAAATCAGTATCTTATAGAAAGGGCATAAAAAAAAATCTTAAAATTGAATTAATTTTCTAAATAGAGCTACTTTAACTTTTTCGTCTTCTTCAAATTGTGTTTTTGATTTTCGTCTTGTATGTTTGAAAAAAAGTTACAAAAATGTCATTATCGCAGCAAAAATGTCCTTTATGTTTTAAAAAAAACTAGTACGTATCCCGTGTGATGCACGAGACAAAAATATTAAATAAGTTATTTTCACATACTTTGTCCGTTTAAGTATATATAGTAATAGTATTATCATCTATTTTTCATCTCTTTTAATCAGCGTTAAGTATAATAAACAATAAGGTTAATTTTGCACCTCTTTTAATCAACGTTATTTTTTAGTCAAAATATTAAAATAATTAATATATTATTTCACTAAGATAGAATATATATTTATTCATTGATATAAGAGAGAATAACAATTTTACTTATTTTTTTCACCATAATACTTAATTATTATTTTATTACACACTTTTTGTCATATAATGTCATTATTTATAAAATTATAGAAGTTGTACGTCTTCTTTTTATTTTTATTTTATGTACTGAAAAATATTTAATGCACGTTTGTATTATTTATTTATGTAATCGATGTAAAATATGTAAATAAATTTAATATTAAAAAGTGTATAAATATTTTACAAAATATACACATGTTTTTTTAGAATTTAATTTTGTATACTAATTAAACAATTTTGATTTAGAAAATGCCAAAAACTCGATCACTCTGTGATCAAGATTTTTCTAATTCGCATTATAAGGATTTATGGTTTATTTATCATACTCAGCAATGAAAATAAATTTTACAATAATTTAATTATAGAAATAAATCAAAATAAAAAAAATGAAAAAATATAATCATGAGTGCCAATAATATACAAATAAATTCTAAACAATAGTTAATATGTTTCAATTTTAACTTTTTACCATTAGTAAAACTATAAAGTATCTGGTCATTATCTGTTAAATGATAAATTATATTAATTTGAAAAATGATTTATTTTTTATATTTAACAAAATAAAGCTTAAGAAACAAATATATTGACAAAGATTAATTTACCAACTTGATTTTGTCTGATTACTTGGAAATTCTACCTAATATGTTACGATTTTCCATAAATATTTTTGGATAAAAAGTAAATATTTGTAAAAAAAAAAAAAAAAAAAACTAATATTATGGTTAGAACTTAAAATATGGTTTAGTGTTATCTTGACCAAAATATTATCAACATGGATCACAAAAATCAATCTTGTAATTTATTATAATGACTATCAATGTAAGTATTACAAATATTAATAAAAACAATATTTATCTTGGCCAAAATATTATCAACATGAATCACGAAAATCAATCTTGTAATTTATTATAATAAATATCAATGAAATTACTGCAGATATTAATAAATTTAATTAAGTAATTATTTGATCATATGTTATTTGATCTTATTTGAAAACGTGTAAATAGAAGCAATTAATCCATGTATTTAAAAAAATTCCAAAAATAGTATGCATTAAATGTTTCCTAAATTTTTGTTACTATTTTTAATAAATGGTAATTCTTTTTATATAGATATAGATTGTTTCAATTTCATCCCTTATGTATGAAAAGGACCACTGTGTAACCTTTTTTCAAATATACGAGACGAAAATAAAAATTCAATTCGTAGAAAACGAAAAAATTAAAGTAGTGAAACATACAAGACTAAAATTATAATTCACTCATCTAAATAAGCAAAATAAATTAGAAAACTATAGTACCTTTTGGAGTATTGATCATGTACGGTATGTTCAAGGCCTTCTCCACGTGCCCATTCTTGAACTCTTCCTCAGTCCTGTTGTTAATTATTTAAATACATACCAAAATAAATATACATAATTGCATATATATTTTAAGTACTTAAAAAAGAAAATGAAAATTAAAATCTTTTAATTAGTTCAACGACCTGACATCAAGATAGAGATGGCCTTGCTTGAGGAGTTTTTTAGCTGTAAGAATATTTACTGTCGTAACCTCTGCATCCGAACTACATAGAACAAGCAAATTGAGAAGAATCCCACACAGAAAAACAGCCCTTACTGCACCCATATATATAAATATCTACTTTTTTTTTTTTTTT